GCATATGCCCTGCCTGCACTATTCATGCCACTGAATGAGTTGTTTCTTGTGTTGAAAATTCCTTTATCTTATAATTAGATAACTAACTTTAAATTCATTTTTTAAAGTTTTCAAGACATGGGCAGAAAGAATGTAGAATTTTTTGACAAAATATCACAAGAAATGGACCTTAGCCCAGTGTCTGATAGAATTCCTGTTCCTCTCTTGTACTAGATGTTTTCCTGTTGGTGTGATAATACACTGACCAAAAAAGCAACTTGAGGAGGACAGGGTTTATTTGGCTTAGATTTCCATGTCACAGTGCATCATAGAAGGAAGTATGGACAGAACTTCAAGCTGAAGCAAAAAGCAGAAACCATGGAGAAAATCTCCTTACTGACTTGTGTAGGGAGAGGTCTAAGTACCTGTAGTGCTTACCATGCCCATTTGGGTGTGTTCATAAGTATGTAGAATGAACCGGTTCTAAAGCGCTAAAAAGACCTAGGGGGAAGAGACACTTTCTCTTTGGGTTCCGGTTTTGGCCTGGAGAGCAGCATGTGGACCTTTGGTTCTCGGCTTTCTTGGCTTCTCATGTAAGTGATTTCTTCCTCAATAAAATATCATAACATTCTTCTTTTGTGTATCTTAATATTTCTACATTATACTTGCAATTTATAAAACCCAGTACCACCTGATCAGAAGTGGAACTGTCAACAGAGGGTTGGATATCAATCATTCTTCAAGAAAATACCCCACAGACATGCTCACTTGCCATTTTGATGGAAGCAAATCTTCAGCTGACATTCCATATTTAGGTAACTCTTGTTTGTGTCTAATTGACACAAATTAACAAGCATTTCTTGATGCTCATGATCAAGACCTCCAAGGTCAACATTTCTCTTAACATTCTTTCCTTCTGACATCCCATCCAAATGGTCCAATGTGCTCTGCTCACTGTCTATTCAAGTTCTTTGTTAGCTTGATATCCTTGTTAAGGTTGTTAGTATTTAGTCATTTGTGCTGGCCTGCCTTTGGAGTTCTGACAGGATATGACCTCAGATGCTAACACTAAGACACTAAGAACACCATCTGTGCACATTCACTATGCTCCCTTTTACAAGGGCCCTGCTCATCTCCCATCCCCCCTTCCTTTCTCTCTCCCCCCTCCTCTCTCTCTCTGCCTCTCTTTCCTCTCTTCCATTACTCCTGTCTCCCTCCCCCCTGTTCCCCCCATTTTATGATCCCTTTTCCCTAATAAAAAACTCTGTTGCGTGGTGTCTTTTCTCTGGAGTTGCATTTGGTTTGATGAAACATCATGACAAAAGCAAGTTGAGGAGAAAAGGCTTTATTTGGCTTTCACTTCTATATCACTGTTTATTATAAACTGGAGTCAGAACAGGATCTCAAATAGGGTGTGACCCTGGAGGCAGAAGCTGGGGCAAAGGTCACGAAGGAGTGCTGCTTACTCACTTGCTCAGCCTGCTTTCTTATAGAACTCAGGACCACCACCAGCCCAGTGATGGCACTGTCCATAGTGACCACCCTCCATTAATCACCAATTAAGAAAGTGCCCTACAGGCTTGTCTAAAGCCCAATCTTATGGAGGAATTTTTCAACTGAGACTCCCTCCTCTAGCTTGTGTCAAGTTGATTTAAAACTAGCCAGCATAGCGGGGCATTCCAAACTCTTCAGTATTCACTTTGCAAACCAGTTCAAAAGACCTAAGAGCCATATAGCCATTCACTCCCATGATTCATGTCTAAAATCCATATATGAGTGAGTACATACCATGTTTGTCTTTTTGTGACTGGGTTACTTCACTCAGGATGGTTTCTTCTAGTGCCAGCCATTTCCTTGCAAATTTCAGAATTCCGTTGTTTTTGCTACTGAATAGTATTCCATTGTGTAAATACACCACATTTTCTCTATCCACTCTTCAGTTGAGGGGCATCTAGGTTGCTTCCAGGTTCTGGCTATTACAAATAATGATGCTATAAACATAGTAGAACAGTGTGCATCTTTTGGGTATATGCATAACCATGGAATTGCTGGGTCTTTCAGTGGACTGATTCCCATGTTCCTGAGGAATCTCCATACTGATTTCCATAGTGGCTGTACAACTTGGCACTCCTACCAGGAGTGGAGGAGTGTTTCCCTTTCTCCACATCCTCTCCAGCATAAACTGTCATTGGTGTTTTTTATTTTAGCCACTCAGAGTTGTTTTGATTTGCATTTCCCTGATTGCTAGGGATGTTGAGCACTTTCTTTAGTGTCTCTCAGCAATTTTAGTTTCCTCTATTGAGAATTCTCTATTTAGTTCTGTAGCTCACTTTTTAATTGGATCTTTGGTGCTTTGGAGACTTGCTTCTTAAGCTCTTTGTAGATTTTGTAGATCAGTCCTCTGTCAGATGTGGGATTAGTGAATATCTTTTCCCATTCTGTGTGCTGCCTTTTTGTCTTGTTGGCTGTGTCCTTTATCTTGCAGAAACTTTTCAGCTTCAGTAGGTCCCATTTATTAACTGTCGGTCTCAGTGTCTGTGCTACTGGTGTTATGTTCAGGAAGCTGTCTCCTGTACCAATTCGTTCAAGGGTACCTCCCACTTTCTCTTCTAACAGGTTCAGTGTGGCTGGATTTAAGTTGGGGTCTTTGATCCATTTGGACTTAAGTTTGTGCATGGCGATAGACATGGATCTATCTGCTGTCTTCTATATGCCAGAATCCAGTTATGCCAGCACCATTTGTTAAAAATGCCTTTTTTTTTCCATTGTATAATTTTAGCTTCTTGGTAAAAACCAAGTGTTCATATGTATGTGTGTTAATATCAGGGTTTTCTATTCTATTCTATTGGTCTACCTGTCTATTTTTGTGCCAATACCAAGCTGTTTTCAGAAATATAGCTCTACAATAGAGCTTGAAGTCAGGGATGGTGATGCCTCCAGACGTTGCCAATCCCACTGCCAGAGAGGCAGGGAAACAGGAAGGACCCTAAGAGAGATATACATGGTACCCCAGAGAAGGAGGAATGAGTCAAGATCTCCTGAGCATATTGGGAGCACAGGGTGGAGGAGGGGAAAGGGAGCCAGGAAAAAGAGAGGGAGACAAGAGGAAGGGAGAGAAGGACATGGGGGAGCAGGAAAGTTGAGTTGGGGGATGAATAGAGGAGAGCAGGATGAGAGATACCATAATAGAGGGAGCCATTCTAGTTTGAGGGAAGATCTGGCACTAATGAGAACTCCAGAGATGTACAAGGATGACACCAACTGGCAAACTAAACCGTAGTAAAGACTACTTTAAATGCCCCTCCCTAATAATGATTTGGATGACTCTCTTACATACCATCCTAGAACCTCCATCAAGTGACAGATGGAAACAGAGGCAGACACCCACAGCTAAACACTGAACTGAACTCCTGGAACCCAGTGAAAGAGAGGGAGGAGTGATGAGCAAAGGGGTCAAGACTGGGCTGGTGAATCCCAGAGAAACAGCTGACCTGAACAAGGGGGAGATATTAGACTCCAGCCTGATGGCTGAGAGGCCATCATGGGACTGATCCAGACCCCCTGAATGTGGGTGTCAGTGAAGAGAGTCAAGCAATCTATGGGGTTTTGGGGTAGTAAATCCATATGTATCCCTGGCACACATGGACTTTGGGGACCCATCCCACAATGAGGGATGCTTTCTCAATCTGGACACTTTGGGGAGGGCCTGGGCCCTCCCGGGAACAAAATGACAGACTCTAGAAATCCCACATGGAGGGCCTTACCCTCGCTAGGGAATGGGGTGGGGATTGAGTGGGGTGCTGGGGGGGCCTGGGAGGAGGGAGTGGGCGTGGAGGTGAGGGAGAGGGAGCTGGGACTGACATGGGAAGCAATCTTGTTTCTAATTTAAATATATAAAAAAAGTGTAAAAAAAAAAAGAACCATACAGCCAGGCTTGTCACAGCCTGGTGCCACAGCTTGGCACCAGTTTTCTACACCCTCATTGCTGTGCTAATGTACTCTTTCAGCAGCAACTTTGAGAAGGAAGGACTGATTCTGGCTCACAGTTTGTGGTTACAGTTCACCTTGGCAGGGAACCATAAGCATCAGAACGTGAGGCAGCTGCTTACACTGCAACCATTCATGAAGAGGGAGCAAGGAGCGTGCACAGGAAGCCTTCCATTTTGAAATGGAACCCAGGGAACTGTGCTGCCTGCTTTTAGGGTTGCTCTTTTCACCTCAATCAACCTAGTCTAGATGATTCCTCACAGGTGTGTCCAGAGGCTAACCTATTCCGATGATTACCTATCAGGTGTGCAAAGAGGATGACCTATTCCATGGAACCCCTCGTGTGTACAGAGACTAACCTAATCCATGGAATCTCTCTCAGGTATGCCCAGAGGATGACCTAATCCATGGAATGGAGTGTTTCCCAGGTGTGTCAAGAGGTTTGCCTCTTGAGTGATTCTAGGTTTTGTCGATTTTATAATCAATATTAATCATCACATTGGCCATCATAATTTATAAACTTTATACCCCAAATGCATAAATGTAAATACCTCGATGTAATGGTTTGAATTATATGTCCACCCCTTTCCCCACTGACTTGGGTTTTGAATAATGGGTCCCCAGTTGGTGGAACTGTTTGAGTAGGTTTTGAAAGATTTGCTGGAAGAAGTATGCCTTTTGCGCAGGCTCTGAGAGTTTAAAGAGTCTCAGCTTTTGGCTTATTCTACTTCATGGCTACTGTTCAGGATACAGACTTGTTACTAGAGGGTCATGCCTGCCACTATGCCTGCTTCTTCCTCTACTACCATGGTGAAGGACTTTGATCCCTCTGGAACCAAAAGCCCAAATAAACTCTTTCTTCTATAACTTGCCTTGTTTTTTGTGGTTGATCACAGAAATAAAAAAGCAACTACTATGTAAGGCTAGCAATTTATATACTATGGTATTCACCCAGGATATTTAGGTCATTTCAGGGCATCTATGTCAATTACTGGTACCAAATCAGAAATCAAACACAGCTTTACAAATAGAGGTATATATAAGAATTATCTTTTCCCTCAGAGTCTAAGTCTTTCAATACTAGGAGATGAGCTTTTCTTCCTCCAGTGAAACACAATGAAAACATGATGGACAATGTATTTCTAAAATTATGATAATAGTTTTAAATACTGATGAAGCATCCCATTTTAGCTATATTTTCTCAGTTTTTATTTAGAAAGCTCAGTAAAGCAGGCATCACAGTTTAGAAATATTTTAATCTCACTGTAATCCAACATTTAAAAAACTACTCATTTCTGATTTTCAACAATGAAATTTATAAAAATAATTTTTGCATTTATAAAATGAATTGATATATCACAATAAATTATTTATATCTATCACCTGAAAAAGTGTATTATATAAAAGCAATGACTTTTCTTAACAATATCATGATAATACACTGAAAATATCAATTTTTCTTTGTCTACCATTTCTGGTAGCTTGACATATAAAAATACTATAGTACAAATTCCCTGGCCATAGATATTAAGACAAAATTATTAGCAATAATTTCTAATTTCTCCTTAGTAAATCTTTACGAGTACATTATTCACAACAATATAAATTTTATGATTTTTATTCTAAAATTATTTTCTATGGTCTGAATGCCCATATGTCTCCTCATTTATGTTTCAAGGAAGCCAAATGTGTGATGTTATGCAAAGGCGGGATGCTAGCAGGTGAAGAGGTCATGAGGGCAGGCCTTCATGAGTGAGAATGGTGTTCTTGCAAAAGTGGTCCCCTGAGAGCTCTCACAATCGGCATCTACAGATCAGAGAGAGAATCTGATAATTCTTGCTCTTGGGCTTTGTTATGAGCAGAACTATGAGAAATAAATTTCCATTGTTTATTCTTCCCAGCATATGACATTTTGTTATGGTGACCAAGATAGAGCATATTTTTCTTGTAGGAGAATAACATTAAATAAGTAAATAAAAACCTACAGATGATATTTGTACTCATGAAATTTAGTAACTTACTTATTTTGTGAAACAAGAGTAATATTTCAAAATATAAGAATTAAGGAACCTTCCATCTCCTTCTCTCTCTCTTCCTCCTCACTCCACCAACACTATATTTTAGTTTCACAAGGATAATAGCATTTGAAGAAATACAGTTGGCTCTGAGAAACTGCTGATAGTTGTCATATTACTTTACTTTTAGAGCCAAGTTAGTTAATATTAAAATGATCTTTGCACTTGTAGGTAGGTGGAAATTATGACTCATAATCAGAGAAACTGTGAAGGTCCCTGGAAAAACTTTAACCAAAATCTTGCAGCTTCAGATGCTTTTTTCATTTGATATGTGCTCAATTTCGTCTACTTAAAAAATAATATTTACAATTTCATATTCAACAATTTCGACTACTTCTGTAAATATGAGAGGAAAAAACAAGAGAGGCAAGAAGAAAGAGAGTAGGAGCCATTGCTGCTTCATGAGGTGTCCTATCATTGATGATTTTAAAATAAACACAAGGTGTGGGTAATCTTAAGTAGTTGGGGTACTTCTCAGTCTAGAAGTAGATGTTCAATATATTCCTTTGTTGCGAAACTTCCTAAGTCATCAAAACAATCTAGTGTACTTTTCATCATCTTCAGGGTTTTAGGTGAAGATGTGAGGATTGCAAAAGGTACAAAGCTGGTTTCTTGTCCTCGTTGCAAATACTGTAAACAGTTTTGTACTTGTTAGCCTCTACGAGTGCTATGGCAAATACTATTCCATGGTCTGTCCCTGTATATTATTAAAACCACACTGTAGACTTTCATGTGTTGTTTTCTTACCCAGTCTCATTAAAGCCAACCAGAGCTGGGTTGGCACAAATGTGTTCAATATAATTTCTCACAGAGTTGTGGAACTTTAATTAACACAGGTCCCTATAGAAAGACTCTCATGGCTTCCCGGAGAGCTGGTGTGGGGATGCACTAAGTTCTAATGAATGCCCTTTTGGTTGAACCATTGTTTAGTATGTCTTTGTTTTACTTTGGCTTGTATCCTAACTGAAAAAAGCAACATGTCTTCCCTTAGCTTAGCTCTTCAAATAAAGTCACATTGCAGAGAACCAGTCATCCTTAAAATGGCTTTAGTTCTCTACATTTAACATAGAAACATTTTCTGCAGGCAAAAGAAGGCTCTGATGTATTATCCTTCAAAGAGACGCTCTATTCTACAGCTACTGTTCACCTTTTCCAATCTTCAAGTTTACAATTTATTCTTTAAAATATTTGCTTACTTTTTATATTACCTAGTATTTCTAATCTACTTTTATCCAAAAAGAACACTTAATTCTACATTACATCACAACAAAGCAATTATTTACAGATTTAAATTAACATTATGAAAAAAAATGAAAGCCATACATAAGATCCCAGTAGTTTGGGCACAGTGCAGGGATAGTTGGAAACAATACACTATAAAACAACTTCAAATTGAAATATACATACGTTGCATGTGAAAGCTTGACTTTACAGCAACAATAAACATAATGTGTTTACAAACAAGAAAATAGGATACCACCTTACAACAGCACCATGAAGAAGCCTTGACAAAAAGTTGGCAAAAGTACCATCCTGAGACATTTCAAGACCAATGTGTTTCACGTTTACACAGTACCATTCAGAAGCAAGCACATTCTCACAACGGCTTTTGTTTAGAGAGGGGCTGGTGTGAAATGACGGAAGCTTGATTTGCAGTGATTTTGTAGTGTTCTTGTCCAGAGCTCTGAGGTGGGGAAGGGAGTGGAGTTTCTGGAGTTGCTGAAAAGGAAGCACAGAATCGTGTATGTAATAGCAGTCACGCTGCCTCACCACACAAAGTCCTACATAATGGCAATATTCATTATTATATTTTGAGTAAAAGGTTACATGTAGACTATTGATGCTTATAATGAATTATCAGGCCACTGACATACTAATGGCAACGCATCCGCCCTCCCTTCCCAAATACAGCTAACCAATGATAGGTGATCATGCTAAGCAATCTGTTTTCACTTCAAGACGTTCCAAGAAGTAGAAAAAGCAATCTTCATAACATCTGCAGTCAAGATGTGCATAAAACTATAATATAAGGGGCTTGTATTTGACTAGTTCATACATATGAGATGATCTAAAAACTAAAATTCAGTTATTTGCAAGACTTTTGAAAGCCAAGCCACAGTCTGTAGCCTCTCCAGCACCCTAGTTTGTTGCTTCACAATCCTATTACAATTGAGCTGGCCTGATCCTTCCCTTTCAATGCTAAGAGCAAGTCTGCATAATTGAATAGAAAGCAACTAAACATAAAAAAATTCAATTGAAATTTTTTGAAACATAGTTTGAATATTTTATTGTATAGTAAAGTATTCCTTCCTATCATGAAATTTTGCCATATTATAAAATAAAATCTATTATATTCTTAAATTTTAGAAAATAGAATATTTGATAAAGCTAGCAGAAAACAAAACATTTACTCACATTCTGAACTTATAGATTTTTCAGTTCTTAAAGAATGCCTATGAAAACAAGAGCAATCTCCTTTGGGCCTTTGGGCTAGTGTCCATTAATACCTTATATTATTGCTAAGTATGGATTATCAGATACTGCAAAAATGGCATTTTTAATGTTGTTTGGTTGAAGAGAAATAGAGAAAATGGTTTAAAAGTTTTAGGGATCTTCCTTAAAGACCAAGAAAACACTGACTTTTTAAATTGGTGTTTAACCTCTGTCTAGCTTTGCATGTAGTACAAACGGGTTCAAGCAAAGTCAATTTTTCCTTTACAATCAAGTCTCATACCTGTGGCTCTGAACAAGACAGAAGAATGGAAGTAGTGATGAGGCAATTCTTAAATGCTGAACAGCAGCATTTTAAAGGTGAAGGAATTTACATCCAGTCGAGTTTTCAAACTCTGTCACCTGGTGCCTAGGATGCTTAATGTGTTGCTAATGTGTTTTAATTTCTGAGTTTATAAATAACAAGTTTCCAGGGGACAGAATTCTATAGCCTTTCTGGCATTGTGTTGGGCAATCCTTCTCTCTGTCCATTAGTATTTATGAAATGAAATATAGAATTACAAGGGGATGAGAGAGTGCAATAGATGGGTGAACATTATTGAAATTGTTTATACAGATGTGTTTATATATCATAAATACATTATTTTTCAACATACTTTCTAACAAAATGTATAATTTAAATGGATCATATTATTTTTAGCATGTATAGTTTTTCCTGACTTATTTTTGTTTCTGAAACTATCACTGGTGCCAATAAAATATATGATAATAAAATATCCATCAGTGCTTATTTCTGAAGGGCAGAATGATAAGAGACCATTCTGTGACCTCAACTTTCCCTGCCATAGACTAATAGTCTAGAGGAACTCCCAAATGGTACACTAACATTATAATTAGTTATTAAAGAATATGGTATATTCAGTAGGAAATGCAAATATGCATAAATTATATCGCAATAATTAAAGCCAGTGAAGTGAATTAGCTTATTTGGTATTGGAAAAAGATAGATGAAAGGTAAATTATGGATTAGTAGGTAGAAATTCATAAGCAATGATTTTGTTTTGTTATGAGGCATTTCCCTCAGGTTGACAGCTTAGCCTCCAGCAGCTGGTGCTTTGGAAGTGGTGGAAACTTCAGCCTTGCAAGTAGATCTCTGGGCAGTGTCGCTGGAATGTGACTTGTTCCTGTCCTGTTGCTATCTTTTGTTCTCTGCTGCTTGGCTGCTGGGAAAGGAGAGCTCTGCTGCACCAAGCCCTGTCTTGTAGAATTTTCATAAGTAGCCTCATCTTGTACAATTATTGTATGCCAGAATTCTAGTTACCACAGTTTAGTTAAAATGTACTACTCTTTTAACAACATGGTTTAAAAATCCAGTCACCATGGATTTTTATGTCTCTGTCTGTGATGGGTCACTGACATCTTTTATTTAGTCTAGGCAGATGACACAGTGTGTGGTTCTCTTATTTCTTATCCCTGCAATGATAAACTCAGGTATCCATTTACAAAAAAAAAATGTATAATTGACAGGAGAATTGACGAGCAGTGATGAAAATCAATGAGGAAACAATAAAGCCAAAAACAGAAATTCAAATCTACACAGGACCATAGCAGAAATAGCTCTGCAGACACTATTGCTATTCAAAGTATAAACGTGCATCTAGGAATTTAGCGAGAAATACTTGTCTGTGTAAGTGAAGGAAATGCTGTTGATTTACAAAAAGGAAAAAAAAAAGAAAAGAGGAGCCATGAAAGGGAAAAAAAAGTCCTGATAAATAAATTTTCACAGCTACTTCAGAACATTGACCATGGAAAAGATAAGATGCAGGAAGCTAATTCAAGCTTCTGAAGGGGTAAAACCAAACACCATGAGGGCAAAACATTTCCTTTCTGTCAGGACACGGTCCAGGAATAGAATCCAAAGAGGAGAATCCTGAGCATTTGTGAGAAAGCTCCAAGAAAAGAAGACAAGAGTCTTGTGCCAGAGGCTTCTTCAAAAAAGGAAAGTGCTCTTGAAATGTGTTTTGTGCTCTTCCCAGGTGGAGAGGATGCGAGTGAGTTTAGTTCAGATTACCTGTTATTGCTTATTTTTGTTATTCAATTAAACACTTGAACAATCCTTTGTATGACTCTAAGGAAAAAAACATGTATTTGCCACGTGTGATTGGTCCTTGTGACTGTATATGGCTGGAACTCGTGAGAACTTCACTTACCTTTCTTAACTCTCAAGTACAAAATATGCCAAACTCGGAGTAAAACTGGCTAGGGAATGAAGTACCCCACCCCATCTATCAGCTCCATTCTCTCAGATCACCTCGCACCCCCAGAATGGTGACACTCTTCTGGTGCAAGGAGGTAGCAAGGACTGCTCAAACTACTCTGTTATATTTTTAACAGCAAAATTACAATTTGTTACTCTCACTCTTTCTGATACCTTAGAGTTACCTAAGTCAATATCACAAGTTTATTTTATTCAATTTCTTTATACACTTTCAATCTGTAGTAAAGAGTTTTTAATATTTTGCCAATTTTAAAGGTCATGAGCAACCATAGTTGCCCCACTGTTTATTACAATTCGTTGGTATAGTTTAGATTTTTATGGCTGTTTTTGTATGGACCTACACTGACGCCAGCCACCAAGGCAGTAAATATCAGTATGCTTTATGCTTCCCAGCCTTATATAATAGAAAATGTTAAGTTTTTACATCTTCAATTTGGAATCCAAATTCATACATTGAGAGAGTAACTAATGAACTGAGTATTTAATTCTCACACAGCTAAGTACAGTAGAAGAAATCCTACCTAAGATCTGCAGTTCCTGGGAAGTAACAGTTTCCTATCTTGAGTTATAGTATCCCAAAATAACTAAAGTTAAGAGATGTTACAGAAGAAAATTTCCCAAGATACTTACAGATCTGGTCTGAGTGAACCAGTGTGGACATGGGACCTAAAAGTATTGTTTGTCCCGTTAGTGGATCCTGAGACAAATGTGGGTGCATTGGGTGATGGAGATGGCTACCATCATTGGCAGCACCTACAAAAGATGCATAAACGTTTGCATTAGTGACATTTACTATTGCTTTACCTTGACCCATGTTTCCAGTGACAGTTTAAATACTGCTATCTGCAAAGTGCTTTTGGAAAATTCAAAAACAAATGGAGAGAGCTCCCCCCATGTTAAAGACAATGTCAGCTTTCATGGTGAATTGGAAAACTGAACGCTATATCATAATAATGAGTATTAATAATGGACCTTGTGTGCTGTTTCCTGGAATCATTAGGTTTTTCTGCCTGTTGTTAAGGCAATTCCAAGAATCACTTACCTCAAGTTTATAGTATTTGGATTCACCCTAATGGCATGAACAACTTTTATTTCAGAAAGATGTCATTAGGAACACATTAAGGACCAGAAAACTAAAAATAAATACAGTGACTTTACAAGGAAATTTAATCTAAATCAGAACATAAAATAACGATTCCTTAAGTTATTCCTGACATTTATTGCAACCCTGAAGTCGCATTTTCTTCTTCTACTAGTTTATGACAATTAATTGCTTCAGGAGCAAAATGTTCATTTTTAAGCCATGTGATTCGTACATGGGCTAGGCAGCAATTTATTTTTTGTTTTCGAATTTTTAAGAAGCTAAAGAACAAAATGTAAAAAACAATTCTATACTCCTCGGTGCCCTAAAAGCAGGGACTATATCCTATTTACCACACACAGAAGGGTCTGAGACCTGAAGTCAATGGGGCTGTACCCATAAGTGATGCCAAAGGCTGGTTAAAATGGGCATTTGAATCTGTTCAAGACCTTTCGTCTTCCTCAGACTGTGCAGAGTTTCTAAACGTAACAAATTAGATTTCGTGCACCCTGTTAGAAGTCCAAAAGAAAGAACGAATGGGAACCTCTAAGTAATGAAGTAACTAGGCCAAAGGAAATAAAGGGGGCACCTTGTTCTAATGCATGGGCAGTCAAACTCAGCAATTAGAGAAATGTGCCGGTTCACTCACCACCCAGTAGCATTTCCTGAAGGAGGTTGTCAATCTTGACCATGCCGAAGAGTTTGACAAACTGAATTTGCTCGATCATCTGCCACGTGATGCTCTGCAGTGTTGGCAGCAGCAAGAGCAGCTCTCCGAACCTGCCTCGGGAGTCATACTGCCGGTCATTGATGTAGTCCTCCAGGCTGATCTGCACCTGGAACCGCATGTTCTTAATTTTCACGGGGTCACTCAGGCCCTTTGCATCTGGGGAGGGAATAGACACAGGCACACTTAGGGCTAAAGGCACCAGGATGAAATGGAATAGTTTAGGTTTCATGCTACGACTTTTCAATTTTGAAAACAAACCTGGGTCAAAGAACACAATGGCCTTCAAACATGCATACTCATTGTCATCTATCTGGATCTCTTGGAATGGTCTAACCAGCTCATCGAGGACTCGATTGGCCACACGGCTGACTTCAACTTCACAGCTGTTACGGTGGATGACATAGTTGTTTCCTGAGAGAAAATGAAGAATTAACCCCCTTCTCTGCTGAAATGTTGAATACTGTTTGCCTTTTTATGTATCAGCCTTCAAAATGGTCTATTGAGGAAGGGACTGTGTTGGGTATTGCACCTTTCTGTAGCACGGAGTTAGGGAGGCGAGAACATCAGGACACTCAAAGAATCCAGAAAGATAATGTGCCCGCGTGCGTTTTAACAGCCTCAGTCACTGGTGATAACAAAAAAGCACAGACTCATAACCAGCTAATAATTGACAGGGGAGAATCGGCCGATAATGATTAGCCTTCCTCTGTGTCAGGCCTCCATTAGGGCCCCACTCATTAATGAGCTTTACACGGAACCTGAAGAATTCGACTCGCTAACAATGGATTGAAGCCAGCCAGCGTGCTTTGCTGCTCTTAGGAACCGATCAGATGCAGTTTAAACCAGCTTAAGTTGGGCGAAAATTAGCACTTCGGATTATTTCTTTCGCTTTTAATTTCTGTGTGTTGGGGGTGGGGTGGGAGTTTGGGGTTTCCAGGCCTGTGATAGATTACAGTCTATGCATAGAAGTCAGAGGGCAACCTCACCATCTATCTTGTTTAATACGGTAAATCTTTGCCGTTCCGTATTGATGCCAGGATAGTGGACCTATGAGCATCCAAGTAGCCTCCCTCTTTTGTCACCATCTACCAGTAGGAGCACTGAGCTTATACACGCCAACTATAGCACCTGACTTTACATGGGTCTTGGGGATTTATACACAAATCTTCACAATTGTGTGAGAAGAACTTGACCAACTCAGCCATCTTCTCAGGCTGTTCTTCCTTGTTATGCCCCTGGTTTTTTATGACAACTTGATATAGGCTAGAGTCATCTGAGAAGAAGGAACCTCATTTGAAAAGAAATCCATCCATACGATCTGGCTATATACAAGCCTGTTAGGCAGTTTCATCGTTGTTGACTGATGTGGGAGGGCCCAGACCACTGTGGGTGATTCCACTTCTAAGCTGGGGGTCCTGAGTTCTATAACAATGCTGGTTGCGCAAGCCGTGGAAAGCAAGCCAGTAGGCCGCTCCCCTGCAAACCTCTGCATCAGCTCCTGCATCGAGGCCCCTGCCTTGCTTGAGCTCCTGGCCTGACTTCCTTCAATGAAGAACAGTGATGAGGAAGTGTAAACCAAGTGCACCCTTTCTCCCCAAGTGCTTTTGATCAATGTTGTATCACAGCCATGGAAATCCTAACTAAGACACTTAGGGTCTTCAAATAGAGGTGACTTGAGCAATTTAGTCAACTGAATTTAAGGGATTTCAGAAATGTGATACAGCAGGCCCAGTTAATCCATCCATATCTTTTTATCTTAGATATTCTCTGGCTGTAATAGTGAAAATATTTATCATAGTTTCTAAAATAAAGTTAGATTGCTCTACCCTGGTGTCACATGAGAACACATTTTTAATTATCCCACTTAGGTGAAGGTGATCATTATTGTTTGGATGTTGAATATCTCTAAAATTATGTATTAAATTTTTGAACAGCATCACTAGGAAATAGTGAAACCTTTAAAACTGGGGCCCAGAGGGAGGGGTTATTTCCCTGAAGTCATGTTCTTTTTGTTTTTATTTAGATTCTATTTTCCCTCCATGGGTGTTTGATGTCCATGTCTCTCTGTGCCGCACATACGTGCTGGGCCCACAAGGAAGCCAGAAAAAGGCGTCAGATCACCTTGAACTGGAATGACAGATGGTTATGAGCCACCTTGTGGGTACTGGGAATCAAACTCTGACTCTCTGGAAGGACAGTCAATATGCAACCACTGAGCCATCTCTCCAGCCCTGAAGTGTCCCATTGAAGGGATTATACAGACACCGGCCTTCTCGCTCTTCTTGATATAAATAGTGTCCTCTGTAAAACAGGCCTGTGTGGTGTTCTGTGCTGTGACAGACCTAACGCTACAAGGCACGGCACCTCTGATCTGAAACGTCTGAAACTGGAGCCACATAAATATTTCACCATTGTTTCTTTGGTTGGTGGGTTTTTTGTTTGTTTGTCTGTTTTGTTTTGTTTTGTTTTTCCGAGACAGGGCTTCTCTGTGTAGTCCAGCAATCCTAAACTTGCTCTGTAGATCAGGCTGGCCTTAAACTTAAAGATCTGCCTGCTTCTGCCTCTTGAGTTCTGGGATTAAAGGTGTGCACCACCACCACCTGGCTTAACCTTTCCCCTTTTTAAGTTATTTCAGATATTTTGCCAAAGTTCTGTATGTCAAAAAAAAAATCAGATCACTGAAGTGATAACCTTTCTCCCTGCTCCCCTCTCAGTTTTCGTGATATGTGAGGGACAAAAATATTGTATATAGTTAAAGTGTGCAAATGTAATGCTTGTATATACACATAAATGGAGAGAGAAATGATTACCACAGCCACACAAACTGAACAAAACTACTGTTGCATATACTTATTTTTGTGTGTTTTATTCTGTCATGTGAAAATAACTAACCTAGTTATTAAAAAGAAACAATGAAGAATGGGGTATAGAATGTTTACTTTCCAGGGTATATTGTAAAATGGTTTACAGAAAGGACAGGATTTGCAGTGTGCGGTAGACATTCAACCAAAGTGTTTAGCTGGGGTCCAGGGCACTTTCTGTGGTTCCATTATGGTTTAGAATTCCAGGTCTTGGCTGCCTGGCTTTCCATCATGATCAAAACATTCCCTTCCTCTATTTCTTCATTGCAGAACAAGCAGGATAGTAGGGTTTTATTTCAGTGATTAAATGAGAGTGCATGTTAGCACAATGCACTTAAAGCAGAGCATTTAATAAATATTAACCTTCAATAAATATTAGCTACTCTTACACTGTGTCCCATTCGTTTACATTTGGGACCAAAATGTCACTCAGAACCTAATCTTTAGAGTTACCAGGACAGGGCTGAGACAATTTGTAGTGAAAACAATGGGTTTTCTTATGCCTTTTTTACCCTTTTCACTCTGTTCTACTTTTGCTGCTCCTTGCAATTATACTACCAGCATTTTTCAGACATTGCCTAACATTTTAAAAATAATTATCTTATGGTGTGTTATGATCAGTAAAATCATAGGAAATAAATATGTTCCTTGGCAGGCTATAAACTAACTAGCCTACTAAGTAGTCTACAACAGAATGAAAGGACTTGGGGATTCAATACTTGGACATTTAAATGGTTATTCTTTGTCTTCAAAAATTTTAAACAAAAGTCAGCATCAGGCTTATGGAGCAAAACCTCTATTGCATTTTTAAATTTTAATGTCTCCATATCATCACAGCACTCTGAACTTACATTCAATCAAAACAAAGAAAAGTAGGGCCAGCTAGACCACTTAGTGAGTAAAGGGGGTGGAATCCAAGCAGGAGGACCTGATTCCATATCAGGGGCACACAGGATTGAAAAAGAGAACAACTCCAGCAATTTGTTCTCTGAAAGCCCAAGGTACCACACACACACACACACACACACACACACACACACACACACACACACTGCACACACCACACTAGAACTGAATGAGAACATAATGAATGGCATTCCTTTTTAAAATCAGAGCACCATTTCCCAATGGCTGTGTGCTTTATACATGCAGAATAGATCCCACATACTGTACATATAAAATATGCTTGATTTCTTCTTTTAAAAAATCTTACCCAAAAGCAAAATATCTTTATACATCATGGATCTTTTTGTGGCTCCAAGCAGTAAGTGTTCTCCAGCGTGAGCTCTCAACAGGGCCACCTTAATGAAAGTTTCCAAGATGCACAATTAATTATAAAACATAATGATTAAAAGACAGTGCAAGGTGAGTCTGATTAACTTTACAGTCTTCCTTAAGCCTGACTCGTTTTTTGCCTTGTTTTGTTCTGACATACAATATTCATATATACTTAAAATGAGGAGGCTTTCTAGGTTTCTCTCAGCATGTCAGAAATGTTTGCTTTGCAGGTAGCCAAGAAGAGCAAATCTTCTATTTTTTTGAGGTGAGTAGAACAGAACAGGCTTGAGTTCATACCCTAGATTGGTGGACTGCTCCTTGTTTTCCTGTTTAACCTTTCATACATTTGCTAGTAGGTTTGGATTTCACTTGTTTGCATATATAAGATCAATTACCAAATGCACCCCCAAGAATTAAATGTTGTAATGTGTATAAGCATGGTTTGCTGATAATAAATTAAATAAACAAAAGTCCTTAAAAAGAAGAAGGAAATAGTTTTGGCTCCTGCCTGTTTCTAGTTTGGATATCTTACTTATAGCAGTGAACATTCAACAGAGGTTCATTCTTACACTCGGTTGTATGCTGGGCCTCATCAGTAAGAACCAGAGGAAGCAAGACAAGTGTAACATGTCCCAAATGATTGTTTCTCCTATGTCTTCTGCACAGTAGTAGGTGGAACTATTATCCAAATATGATTGTCTGCATCCAAACAGGAGTCTATTTGAAGTGCTCTCCAACTATTCAGTGATGTTTATTAAAGTGTCAGCCAAATCCATCCACTGCCTTTCTTCCCTGTGGATTCCTTCTGGTCCGGGCTGTCACTTGTCTGCTGTACCACTCCAGCATACTCGGTGGCTTTTGCAAAATTTCTTTATTACTTCTCCAGGGCTGACGCATCTTTGTAATAGCTTCTCATATACACATATGAGAACTCTCAAATGAGTTTATGAGAAACTTGGTCAAAATCACAGCTCCACTAAAAATGTTTTGGTGGCTTCATATTGTCCTTCAAATCAAATCCAGATTTCTAAGTTATGGCCTTCCAGGTGACATGAGGTGAGCAGACATTACCTCCTTTGCCTCCCGCCCCATCCCTGCTTTATCTTGCAGCAATTACTGTTCACGCTGCTCCACTTGCCTGAGAACCTTTGAACACAGTGTTGTTCATGCACTCAGAATTCTTCTCCCTTGACTTTGGCCCCTACCATTCCGGTCTTGGGGGATGTCTTCTCTCATTCCCACCACAGTCTTTCCATCCCACCCCGATTCATCCTCCAAGGCATCCTGCTCCATTTTATGCAATTTCGTAGAACTGATTTCCACCTAGAGTCAACTTACTCTTAATTTGTATATTTTTTTTTATTGTCAGTCTCTCCCAAACAGACCACAAAGTTTATGAGACCAGTGAAGCAATCTGCACTTTTACTGCAGGATCCCTTCAGAACATAACTGAAACCAGTAGTCTCCTAATAAATAGTCATCTCATGGATTTATGGATGGAATAAACCAATCTGGGGTCCAGTTTCAGGAACTGTAAAATGAAGATAACACCTACCCCACAGAGCTCCTAAAAAATTAAATGGAATAATATAGTTGATCATACATTTGAGAGAATGTTCCCTAGTATCTTACTGATAAAAGGTATTCACTAGCTATAACTACTAATGTTATGTTTTTAATATTAATGAGCAGTAAACAAAGACTTTTTCACTAGTTACTGATCTCCAATTTCCCAATATTTCAGCCACTGTCTTTATATATATAGTCAGCAGGTTTAAAGAAGAATGATAATAAAAATATAAAGCTGATAAATAACACAGCCCTACTTATATTGCTTGGGGTGAGACTGGCAGGTTTTAGCAATTTAGCATTATTCACTCTGGCCTAATCTTCTGAACCAAGCTATCTTTACGACATGCCAATAACTGTGACTCAGTCCAGGAAGGGAGTTACAAAACACTGTAAGAGTGATTTCAAGTTTCATGGAAACTTTTCCTGTCACCAAGTAAAATAAATACCTTCCTAGAAATATAACTGCTACCTTCCTATGGTGATTCTACTCCATTCTGGCATGTGAATATTTCCCTCTTCCTTATTTTTACACAATCACACTTGGTCTTTCTTCATTTGTGTGGTTTCCTTGTGTCAGTGACTGTACTGGTCAGAGTGTATAGACACACTGAGTAAAACTCTTAGTTTGGTTAATTTTTTCAGTGTGAAAGAAATATGAAATTTAAGACTATTTTCATCTACAAAAAGGTATACACTCTTTAGAAAGAAAAGCTAAAAGTGACTCAAATCCAAGTAAAGCTTTGTTTACTAATGAGGAAATCCAAGGTTCTAATTATTAATTAAGGTTTTTTAAATATAAATATGCCAAGTTTAAAAATGCAAGTATTAGAAAAAAAGACTTTCTTATTTCTTGTAGATTTCAGATGTGGAATCTGTGGACATTGTGCCACATCTATATTTCAAGACAATAACTGCAAGGATAAAACTGCTAGAATGAAAGAAAAATATTACATGTTAATTATATAAAGGATCCACCGGGTCACCAGCACAACCTACTTGTTTCTGTCAAGGGGTTGCCAGACATTTCTGAAGAATCTAATTCAGTGCCTTCAGGAAACTCAAGACACCACAACACACCATCTCCTTCCTCCAGCTTACCCAACATTTACCACTCTAATAGCCAGAAAACCTCAAGAGTGTATTTATTTGCTGTTTATCTTTATTCTTCATCTAAATATTTAAATTTCAAGACTGCTGAAGATTGTCTTGATCAACTCTTAACCAATCAGTAATTTTTCTAGAGCCGGACTATACACAAGGAAGTACTGTCTTTTGACAGAATAAGGACAAGACCTTAGCAAATATCAAAAGCGCTTTGTAAGGGAGCCATGGTTCCTTTTAAATCATACCTGGTCATCCAAGGGCAGTTCACAGAAGGCAGGGATGTACTTGGCCCATTCCACCAGGACTAAGAGCTGCTGCTTCATAGATTCACAAACGTCACTTATGCTTGCAATCTTCTTAACGTTTATGTCAGTATTTGCACTGGGGCTAGGGACTGAGATCTAGTGTTAAAAAAAACATTGTATTAGTTTATCATTGAGACTACTGGATAGCCAACAATCCTTCTCTTTACTGTGACTGTTTTTATAAAGTAAAGAGCATGGAAGCTAAAATTATCATTATCATAGTACTTTCCTATATATTAAACATTTTTTTAATTTGAGAAACAAAATCCTTATTGGCTTAAAGCTAAATTGAAAATATGCATATATCAATCCACACTCTGAGAGCATAATTCTATTTTAAGTACCAAATCTGTAAACCAAATTAGTCTTTTGAAGGAGTTTTGTAGTTCAAACTGGCTACATAACAAAATTGATAGTAACCACAAGAAATAAACTCTGTGATTATTTTTAGCTAAAAATCATATTTTTATTAAGTAAGCCCTTCTTTAATTTTTTGATTTTTTTATGAAAAATTAGCTAGTGAATAAAATTTATAAAAGGTGGGAACATTTAGGGAAGAAACTAGAAATATTTATGTCACATTAAAACAAGGCCATAAAAATAAAATTACAGGAACAAACTTTTGACTCGGCAATGATGAAATGCTTAACGTTTTTAAATTACACTTATCTTTTGACTATATGAAAGTATAAATGAGAACTTAAAATGCTTCCTCCTAAAAAAAGCAAATACTACCTCATTAAATTTTTGTAAAATTAATTTTAACCATAGATTCACATGTGTACGTGTGTGTATGCATGCATATATTTGTCTTGTGAACCCAGATGTTTACTTACAGCTCCCCTTTAAGTCATTCTCTAAATGCTTTATTGGATCATCAAGTAATCTTCAAGTAATAGTGATGATAATAGGATGTTAACCTCATCATATTACTCCTGTGTTATCAAGAATGAAAGTAGACTCACTGCCTCCTTATAGGGCCTGATTAACTATATAGCTATTTCATAATTTGCTTTGTCATTGAAAAGCACCTTGAGTATTTCCAATAAAGGCAATGCTAAAATATAGTTTCTTCAAAAGATTATTATATCAAACTCTTAAATGATTGGTTTTATTTGTAAAATGAATGATTTACCATTTTAACTTTATACCTGATATTCTTACTCTAAAATTGATGATTGAAATTGACTTTGTTTCCTATTTTGTGAATTCTGCCTTTAATTCTTGTAGTAAAACCTGTTCCCTAAGGAATTCATGAATTGACTTCTTGAGTTCAGAAATAATTTTTAAGGAAAGAAACTCTGATAGCAACCCCCCCCCAAATTGCAGCAGTTGACTTCATAGATTTCTACAATAAAATATTGTCACTAAAGCATCATGATGTGTTTTACTTTTACTCAGCCTCTTAATAATCATCCAAACAATTTAAAGATAGGGTCTTGTTCAAAAAACAACTTAAAACAGTTCTCCTATTGCTTTCAAAATGATGCATCTGAATTTGTATAGATGGACTTTAGCAGTGAGCACAAAACAATGAACTCGATTCCCAGCACTTCGCATCAGCAGACACTGGATTCTACTGGACAGAGGCAGTGTTGAGGTGTGGTGGGTACCTGGCGGGACCGAACTTCAGCTTGTGCCAGAGTGTTTATGGAGGGAATGTTACTGCCATCAAACGTGCTTCTTCTGGTGCTTATTCTGTCACGTTCATTTTGAACAGCTAAGGAAGAAAATCACAGGTATTATTAGTTAGATCTCTGATGTAGGCTAAGAGATGGTCTTTCAAAATGCAAAATGTGAACAATAAGACTGCCTTTCTTTAAATTCTTGGGCCATATTCAAAGATAGGAATAGCCAAGCTTGTAACCCAAGCTCAGAAAATACAGTTTCTTGGAATTTGTGATGGGTTGTATGTTGGGAACTTTCAGTTCCCCAGTTTTGACATGCTGTGTTTTTAATAACATGGCTTTCTATTCTCTTACAGATAATAAAACTATAAGTGAACTAGAGGAGGAATATAACCTGCCAGATTGGCCACGTTAAAGATGAAAACAGCCACTGTCAGGGCAAGTGAGTAGTAGATTCTGAAATTCCTATTTTCTCTTAACTATAAAATGCTACCACAATAGAGAATAAATCCATTTTAGTTAAGGTGACCTTAAGCAAATCGTAACCTCTTATAAAGCAATGTTTACAGATGTAAGCTTTAGAATTATTGCATGATTTGAAGTACCTCCCTAGAAGACAGATACCTGAATATCTGCTTCTCAGAAAGATGAAATCATCCCTTACATTATATAAAATATCTCTGAGAGAGGTAGGCCTGGTTCCTTGATTCATAAAGGAAAGAATAAATAATGGACATGTCTAAAACGATTATTGAAAACCAAATTTTTATTCATAAGAATAAAAAGGAAGTGTTAGCACATATATTTGCATAAATACTCATGTAAAAAGGGTCAGATATTGAAGTTATATTGTAAAAATAAGGGCATAAAATGATCTTTCATTAATCAAAGATTAAAAAAAGAGAAAGAAAATGAAACAAGACCTATAGCTCCTCAATTATTTAGGTTAATGCTATAATCAGTTCTGTTAGAAATATGATGATACCAAACCAACAAAATTTTCTCCAGCAATGAAATCCACCAATTTCTACACCAATGCCACAGAGAAAAAGAAGAGTGGGCTTTCATCTAAACAGACATCTTTTGGATGAATCAGATATTTATCATCTTACATTAAAAATCATACTTACTGATAGTTTATTTTTAATTGTTTCAATTTATGTGGAAAAACATGCACAGAGATGAAACACCAATACATTCCTCTGCTTTTCTAAATTTCATTCATATAATCAAACTTTATAAAAAGGCTGAAATATATAGTAAGCATTTACAATATTTTCACTGCTCTCGTTTTATATAAAATCGCATTTCTGTTTCCACTTAATTACTATCGATATTAAGCTCTCTTATTTATTGAAGAGTAAGCTGCATCAATTTTGAAACCTCAAAAATTACTTTCCACTGTACTTTGTAAAATTAAATCATCATTTTATGAACAGTAGAAGATGTAATTTCACTATTTTCAAATGTAATTTTATTTCATAAATTGTAAGACTCGAAAGGGAAATGCAGGCTTGGTGTTGTTTGCAATTTTATAAGGTAAAGATTGGTCTTCAGGTAATAAGGAAAAAGGATACTTGATAAATTATGCAATTATTCCTATCAACTACCTAATGGAGCTTCTAGGACATTAGCTATGTCATTTGCGAAAGGAGAAATTGCCTCTTTAATTTAGTGAATTTTACCTTTGTAATATTCTTAAGATTAGCATCTCAATAAAAGCTAACCAAATTTCCACAATTTTAAATTATTGAATTAAGAGAAAAATAGCTACATCTGAGAGGGATTTCCTGTATTTTATAAATCTGCAGCATCATTATTTAACTTAATGTTATTTTTTTAAGCTTGTAATATACTTATGGAAAACAGTTCTTTGCATGTGACAGACACAGGCAGACAACCAACTACAGGCATAGTTTTTTGGTTTTACGAGATAGGGTGTCTCTGTATTGTTTTGGAGGCTGTCGGTCCAGCCCAGCCTCGAACTCACAGAGGTCTGCCTGCCTCTGCCTCCCGAGTGCTGGGATTAAAGGTGTGTGCCACCACCGCCCGACTCAGGCAAAAAATCTTACAGCTGCTACATCTGCCAGATTTAGAACATATGTAACACTCTTGTCTCTAAACATCGTAGTGAGAAAGGATAGAATGAAATGACTTAATATGATGAAAAAAAACCCAACATACACTAATACCATAACTACACTCCTTATTATTCAGTAGACTCTAAGTTTCTCAAGGAGGATTGTCTTATCTATGAAGTTCACAATTCAAATCTCAGTACCTGAATAGCATTTGAAAAACAGCAAACTCTAACAAATATTTTTAAATAGAGAAATGAATAAAGATGATATGTCGTCAATTTTCATGCGATGAGTTAGTATACTTGGCCGTTATTAAGAATGAAAATTGTACACTTTATAATACATTCACACCTTTAATCCATAGACTTTTTAAGATCTATAGATTTTGCCTATGTAGAGAGTGGTGTCAGAATCAGAGCAGGTGAACTCCAGTTCTGTACTTACTGACTGCACATCCTTGAGCTAAATTTTTTTAACTCTAGGAACTCTTTGACAGATTCCTCATTAATATATTGAGGGAAACCAGAGCTTATTAAGTAGGTTATGTAATTAATGAGAATTCTTGCACATTGTTATCACTTTTCATCAATAATGTTAATCATCATCATGATCATCATTATTGCTATTACCTTCTTTTTTCATTCCTGCTCTAAAACACTTTCGTAATCGACAGTATCTACATTGATTCCTTTTGTCCTTGTCAACAACACATTGGCGACTGAACCTATAACAGGAAGCACACATTAGTTCACAAAACACCACTTATCAAAAAAAGCTCACAAGCAAACAATTAGACTTTAGGCAATTACAGTCAAATCAGGCTCAAAATATAAAGCATGAATAAATCCAATTCCTTAAGAAACTGAACATCTCATGGCGGGCACATACATGGCAATATACAGCACACCTCTCGGTCAATCTTCATAGTAACATAAAACTGAATGACTGCATCATTTGGGACTAGTGTACATGATATGAGTCATGAAAGTCAAACGTAGCTTTAAAATCTTTGTCATATAAATTTTTGGTGTTTATTGCCAAATGATTTCAGGATTGTGGAAAATGTATCATGATTCATAGCTTTTACACTTAGGTGTTTTTTTCTTTAACTTTTTAAAATTCTATTAATTTTAAATGCCTTAGAGTTGGATTGAGATTTACCACAAATAACAAATTACTCACCATTGAGGACAGCACTGAGAAAGTTACTTCTTCTTAACAATGTATCAGTTTATTCTTTTTAAACAACCCAGAATGGGTGGGGAAAAACATGTGTTGCTGAAGATATAAAACTATATTGGAACCATTGTATGATATGGGATAGACTAGTAAATGCTACTGCTGCTTTGGAAGAATGTTTAGTGGTTTTTCAAAAAGTTGAAAACAGAGCTACACCTAGGGCACAGAACTTCCAAGCTGTGTATATACCCAAGAAAAATGAAACCTATGTCTAGAATAGCATTTTCTTAGTGAGCAAAATGTTGCAGTGATGAACAGATAAAAATCCCAGACAATGGCATAGTACTATTTGTTGATACATAGGAATGAAGCACCAGCAGCCATGCTACACTGTTGATGAACCTTGAAAACACTTCTTAATGCAGTATCCAGAGAGGCAAATATACAGAAACAGAAGGCAGATTAACACTTTCCTCATGCTGCCACAGATATGGGAAACTGGAGGACACCCAAGTAGGGACTTCTTTGTAGAGGAATTAAGTGCTGTTCTTAGTGATAGTGATAGTCACCCAGTTCTGCATATGCTAAAATCCAAATTCATAGCTACAGAAGATGCTATTGTCTCATTTCTTACAGTTGATTATTAAATGATGAGGATAATAGGATGTGTTCTGTGATCTATTAAAATTTATGGACAGTAAAATAAGAACAAAGTTACAAGTGAACTGTGCTTTTAGAGTAAGAAAAGTCAAAATACCTTTTTTGTTTAATATGAGATGAATAGACTAAGAGGAGGAAATCAGTTGGTCAAAAACCATAAGAAGTATATATCTAGTTAACATTAAACAACAAAAATAGAAGAAACATGTATCACTAAGCTCCTGACATGTTCAAGATCTTGGTATAGGCACAGAAAAGGTGAATGTTTGCTAATTTTCCATTCAAGGAAATTGCAAACTAAGAAGTACACAGAAACATTAACAAATGTTATAGAGAAAATCCTATCAATAGAATTGAAGTAGAAGATTTACGTCCTTTAGAAAGGAAAGGCCAGCTATAGCATCATAGGATGTTAAAATAGAATTTATTAGTCTAAAAATGGGATACATTTGAGGCAAGCAAACTTTACTGAAAAGACATTATGGTCTCTCAATTTGTACCCATATAATAATGATTTAAAAAAAATAGGTCACAGAGCTTGCTTGGTCACAAAAACTACAAAGAGGCTTAAACGGCTGATGCTACACATGGAGAGAAGTTCCACCTGCCCCTGCTCCTAGGGCACTAGCAAACCTCAAAAATTCTTCCAGGAGTTATTCTTCCTACTCATCGCATAAGGGAAATGCGCAAGTCCTCTGATTCTGAGGTCAGAATCATCTTTTATGTGGATGTGTCTCCCTGTTAATAGTGCACATGACTCCAAACAATGGAACCTCCATGTTGCTTTATTCCTTTAGGTATTAATGTTAAGACCTGTATGCATGTCAGGTAACCACAGTGAAAATGTGTTTGGTGGAGGAGATGAATCATTTTTAGCTGTGGAATGTGCAGGTGTGCATATACAATACCATCTAAATGCTCTTCTCTTTGTCAGATTGCTAAAGCTACATCAAACCTCCTGCAAATATTATGAGGCAACACCAGGTAGATATTAGTGGAGTTTTGTATTAACTTTTATTACACCTTGAAAAGTCAAATGTTCCTGGACTGGGAATTCTCAAATGTCTAAAACTTAGTTTTAGATCAGCATTGCTGGATGTCTCGGCTAGTGTGTGGAAGGCCATGAATTCAATCCCCATTCTAACCAAATAGTAACAATGACAATAAGTAATAATGTCTATTACCAATAGAACAAAATCAGATTTTTCTCTATGAAAATCAGTGAATTGTGTAAAAAGCTCGATCTCAACTTAAACAATCTATATCCAAGAATTATCATAGACATCAATTGGGATAAATACCTAAACTTAAACTGAGTGATGGTATTGACTAGGTAATATAAAAAAGACTAGTAGAAATATATGGACATATGAAGTAATTAAATAAGGTTTAGACAAAAAACTGTCTATTATGTAAAATTTAACATGAGAATTAATTTGAAGTGAAAATCAAATTTCACCCTTTGACTCAGTAAGTTGCAAAATCATTTGTAGTTTTACAATCTTTTCCTGTTAAAGATCTAGAATGTATTGACCTTGATAGAAAAATTAAAATAGAAATCAATCTACACACCTTAAGAAACTACTGAAACAGATTTTAAAAATGTTTAGTAGCACATGAACATGTGATAAAACAATAAAGAGACACAAGGAAAAGATTAACACTAAATTCTAGATGGTAGTTCCCCCTGGAACACTGAGGAGAATTACAAAGTGGCCAGGGAGGTGTCCACTGGACGGTTCAACTATATTGCTCTAAACTGGGTGGTAGGTATATGAATTTCTTTATACACATTTACAAGTTTCAAATTGTTCATAGGATGCAACTACCAGTATGAATGTGAACTGCACATACAATCATACACTTTTTTGAAGCTTCGCAAATTTGTTCAGAGTCACAGAGACATGGAAGTTCTCAATTTACTTTCCTTACATCCCCATGCCATCTGGAGACACTAATAGCAAAAACGTTGCTAAAATGAGCACTCCAATACCTGCAGGAATAAACGTGACTTTTCCGAATGCTGCGCCTGAAAAACCCCTTGCAGCCATCACAGCTGGATGCCCCATAGTGCTTTCCTGTTGCTCTGTCCCCACAGATGGCACATAGACAGTTGACACCACTGTCTGTGGTATTCATACTTGTGGTCTCTGGGGCAGAACTGTCTGTGGAAAAAAGATGAGAAGAGTTAGCACAGTGCTGTACTGCTTACTCCTCCACTCTCTGTCTCGTGGGCGATTCCTTATTGGTGCTTCCCTTTCAGTCACTGGAAGCATCCTCTTGGGGATTCTGTCTCATATTTCTGATCATTTAATTTGTGGTTACAATTGTACTCGATTCCCTAACTTCCACTTTTCTCAAGGGAAGATCATGCAATCTCATGATATCAGATATCAACTGTATGATAGAAAAATCCTCAGATTTTACGTCATGACAATACCATAGAACACAGTTTTAAAGACTTAAGAACCTGTGCATCAATTTCACTTTGAAACCTAGTAAGCATAATAGTTGAAAAGAGAACTTGGATCCCATCTCCACCCAAGTGGGTCTTCTGCTTCATTCAGTCCTCCTCATAAAACCCCACGGTTCCCATCAGAGGTAAAGATTTAGGTGTCTTTCATGAATTCTTTCTTTCGCCACTTATTTATTGTGATCCCATATTTAAGGTAAGCATTCATTCCACTTTTCACCTTCAGCATATTCTTCCTCATCCAATACCATCATCCTTCACAACAGTTACTAGAATAGCGTTCTAAACAATTGTCTTACTGTCATCTGTATTCCTTGTCTCTTTATTTTCTAACAGACAACCGCTTCATGTCACTTTTGTCCATCCAGTACCACTGTGACTCCTCATTAGAAAGCGCAAATCCCAGTATTTTAACATGTGACCTGCACACTGAAGTTCCCGATTCTGGCCTGTTCAGCTTCTCACTGCCCACTATCTTTTCTCCTTCCATCCTGTTCACTGTTCTACATCTCTGAAGCTGTTTTATATACTTTGCAACCTGAGTTCATCAACTGTACTTTTCATAGTTTGCTGGACTTTTCCAAGCTTGGATTTAAGCCAATTTTAAGGTTCCTGATCACTTTTCACATTTAGTGTGAAAGTTTTTTAAGAAATCCCAGTCATCTCCATCTGTACTTCAAGCAAAACCTAGAGTTCCCCTAACTACTATTATTTCAGGTTACATTTTCATTACCTGGAATTGCACCATAGATGGGCTGACTCATGAATCTATCATTAAACAGATTATCAACATCATGATGTCAGAGAATTCATCTGTGTTACTCATCCTACTGAATCCCACTTCTTAGAACTGTTCCCAGCTACAGTGAAATGTCTAATACAGTTTTAAGAGAAAAGACTATGTGCATAGAGGTGTTTTATATGTGAATATTATTTTAATCAATTGATATTGTTGAAAATAATTTATAAATTCCAGCTAACTCAAAGACATCAAATATATAAGGTATTATACTAAAACTTGAACTTGGTTGACAAAACAGTTGCCTAGTAAGTACAAAGCCAGTGATTCAACCATAAAATATTAATTAAATATAGACTGGATATATAATATAGATATAATAATAAACCATTACTGTATCTCTAATATAAATGGATAAATTTAAATGGTGGCATATATTAATTACATTATGTGATATTATATAGATTCTACTTATTAATACACATTATTTTTGAATAGATAAATGCTATGATATGCAATTTCATAAAGTTAAAAAGCTTTAATAAACTAAATTGAAAATTAATTATGTGACATCATAAAATGTAGATTATAAATGCTAGGAAACTTTTGCAACATTAACAAGGTGCCAGTTCAGTTAGAAGTGTCTGAAATCACAGTCAGATATTACATAGAGAATGAGAGAACTTGGAATATTCATCTCTAAGTGGAATGCCTCTGTCAAATCCCTCCTCTCAGAGCTCGGGAACCTCTCAGAAGTGAAGGTGGAGTGTAGGACAGGATGGGACACCAAGAGAAGAAGCCCCATGAATCAACTGATCTAGGTTCACATGAACTCACAGAGACTGAGGCAGCATGCACAGACCCTTCACAGGTCTACACCTGGTCTTCTACGTATACATTATGGTTTCCAGTTTAGTTGTTTTGTGGAATTCCTGAGTGTGAATGAGTGTGTCTCTGAATCTTTTGCCTTCGCTTAAGCTCTTGTCCTTCTGTCAGTTTGCCTTATCCCACCTCAATGTGACCATTTGTTTTATCTTATTATGTTATGTTGTTATATTTCAAAATAATGAAGGAATGAATGAATGAAAAACATAGCCCCTAGTGTAAAGGTTAACATCTGATACACATTGATACTTGCTAGGAGAGGGAAAATCAGTTTTCTCCAATTGAGTTGGGGTATATCAACCACCCCAGGGAAAGCCTCATGTTAAGGAGTAGTTAATCTTACAGTGGATTCCACAGTATTTTGTGTGCCTTTACTTGGTTACAGTTTGTTGTTGTAATATTGTTTTGTTTTTCTTTCAGGGTGCTGTCTTACTTTGATTTCTTGGTTTTGAGGATCTCTATTGTTGTATTGTTTGTTCTTTGGGAAACATTTTAAAGTTGGGAGGGTAGGCAAGGAGATATGATTGTATAGATCTGGGAGAGGCAAAGCATATCATAAAATATGTTTAAATTTAAAGATTGTTTTAAATAATAAAACCCATTTTAAGAAGAAGTATCTGGAATCAACTGCACTCTGTTGGATAACATTAGAATATTAAAAACAAACTTAATTCTGACTTTATTTTTAATGTCATGTTTACATGCAGCTGACAGTGTTGTTATAAGCAAACAAGTTAGACACTACTGTATAAGCAACTATGAATGTGAATTATTTAATATGCACAGATAAATGCAATACACATATATGGTACACCTATATCTACTACTTACGAATCAGTGGTCTGTTATTAAAAACTCAAATTCTACTAGAATAAATACTTTACTCAATATCTTTTATCAAAATTGTTTCTTCTTACGAGTTACATTATAGCTTCACTCTGTATTTGTGTTAAATTACAGAATTGGGGTTTTCAATTTCTAAAAGTTCCCTCACTATTAAGTTACAGCTTATTAATAGTGTAAATGAAGTTCACAGTTCACTACAATATTAAGACAATCATAAGATGATTCCCAAGTCCTGAACTATACAAGCATGCATGGAGGCACATAGACAGACAGATGTACACACTTTTCCCATAGCTTACATAATTATAAGTCATAACAGTTACCACCTACCTTGAGTAAACTTTTTCCTTAGAACATTCAGAGTGAATACTAAACTGTATTATATAAAGACCCAAACCCCAAACAATCCATGTCTTATTTAAAGTTAAAATGTTACAATAGATAAATGCCAAGAACACTGTGCAGCTAAACATTAGCCTGCCTCCTGAGGTTATAATATAAACCTTTATTTCTTTTTATAGTGGTGGCCAACCAAGAGACTGAACAATAATTTTAAGTTTAATTTCTCACAAACAGCAATGAAGTACTGAAATGATGAGAGGAAGAGGAACTCAGTAAACTCCCCAGCATTCTGTGTAAAGATGTTCATAAGCCACTTTAAACACTGTATAGAAAATGTATTTTCAAGGCCAATCTGTCAAAATTACTTATTCCTATGATGTACAGCAAATAAAATAGTCCTTGAAACTATGCTTCTTACCCCAACTGGCCTACATAGAATTCTGAGGTCACTATATAACACAAATATAAGCTGTTCTCCCTCTAATATTAAACACCTATGGCAACCTGAATTTAAATTTCATGATGATGCACAAAGCCTCAGATCTGTGGCCTTAAAACAACTCATGAGTTCCCCAGCAAGGAAGCTAAACCTCAAGGAGCTCCACATCCATCTCCTCTGGGGCAGATCTCTCTTACATAGAAACGTATGAGAACTCACCATTGGAATTATACAGAATCTGCATAGTGTCAAACTCCAAAGTTGTGTAAGTTGGATCCAAAACTTCGCTGTAGTTTCCCATGTCCATGTCCAGTATAGGTTCTGAAACCCTCATCATCGGCTGAGAGACACACATACGAATGGCTCCACACACCCAGAGTGTGGCAACTGTTATGCCTTCAACCCCTGAGTACTAACCAGAGCTAACTGTCACTGGGTGACTTTAGTGCTGCTGTGGGAGGGGCTGTCAAACTGTAACTCCTTCAGCAGGCCATATTCGGCTCAGTGTTCTTTTATGGCACAAGAAGGCAATTCCTTGTGATAATCTTGGAATGCTTCATGGAGTTGCCTCATCTGAAGTGCTTAGTAGATTAACATGATTTTCTAAATTGTTTTCCAGTACACAGTAAATGACGTCACTTAGAGAAGGGTTAAGCACAGACAGGAGTCCCTGTCAGGTTTTTGTCATGGATGCTAGCCCACATGAGGAGCTTCAATGCACAGACCACATATTTTGAAAAGTCAAATTCATACTAATTTTATAATCAAGTAAGTTACAACTGTAGCTTGTCACTTAACACACTGAGCACCTACCGGTGTCAGGTTTCCTTTATATGTACAATAAAAGTGACGTTGTTTATTTTGGAGGAGAACAGATTCACAATTTGTGCGATCAAGGTTTATGATGTGTTCTAGCAGTGGAGAGGCAGCGTCTCAACAGGAGCTGTGTAAAATCCTCCCAGAATATCAGTTTACTGTCTGTGTCACTCCACAATTGCACATTTCTGGTGGGCAGAACCAGAAAAGTGGCTACTATGCTGCCACCCAGTGAATAATGAAGATTCTTTTATTTGGACTTTATCTAACTACATCCTAGGCATTAACCAAATAAAGCTATCCCTAATGTACAGGTTTACATGAGCTGATCAACTTCAACATATATTACACAGCAGGTTTTTTAATATGTCTTTGTGGAAAGAGACAATCTGAGTTCAGGAAATATTTAGAAGTTAGTATTCAGTGTCAATATTCTACTTTTGAAAATACATTAATTGGTTTTATTTTCTAAAAATAAAGAATTCTATGCTTACTTTTTGATTATTTTTGCTTGAAATTTTATATTCTGTATTTGTTAAAGACTATAGTAAATTAATCTCAGAAGTCAATTTCCTACTCCTGTGGATACTCTTAGATATGATTGCATTTCACCACAGAAATACTA